TTCAAATGTACGTTCGTTACTTTTTTTTTTTCGATCTATTTGTAAACTGAATTATCCCTCGCTACCTCGCTGGAAAATTTATGCTAATTGAGGAACTCTCGTTCCGCCATGGTCAGCAATCTCGGGGATTTTTCGGTGTTTGCCGCAGTGCCCGCATCGGTGAATCCGTTTATCTTTGGAAACTGCAAGTGGAGGTAATACGTGGAGTCTCCGCTTCGCATAATTCAACTTTACTTAACCGCGTCCATTTTCGTCTAATGATCATTATGGCCTGCGCGGAACTTAAAGCGTGTAAAGCACATATGGTCCGTGAAACTTTACTAATAATTTTAGGAAAGATTGCTTTATAATCTTATTGTGTACAATGAGAAAGCGGCTATACGAGCAATTACGTTGATGCTATCCACTTCCATATTCTCATATTTTTAGGATTGTATTTTGAAAAAGAATTTGATTTTTTTATCAAGCGAGAAAGAAGCGAGAGACAGTGATGTATTCGCGCGAGGGGTTTGAAGAGAAGAAAGGAAAGCTCGTGACGGCGAGCGGAATTGAAAATTCGACAACGAATGACGCAAGCGGGTTTTTCGTTGCAGTTGGTTGCGTAAGATGCATGGATGTTCCGGGCCGGAAATTCCGGCACCCCGGTGACAGGATGAACAGCGTTAATAAGAAATGCGCTCTCGAGCTCGGTGCACCGGTACACACGACGAGCGCGAATATATATGGACGTATTCAACGTTCTCACCAATACCAATGCGCGCCCTTTTCCATTTTGCATCCTACCGTCGGTTTGTACTAATGTCGCACGTTGCGCGTATTCCGTGAAACGACATTTGCAGAGTGTCGTCTCGCCGTTAACCTGTTCTTATATACTCGCGCTAATACGAAACACAACCCAGTTTTAAAAATTCAATAAATAGAACGAATAATAGAATTTTTTTCTCGACATTTTGATCCTGGCACCGTAGAGCGTGCAACAATATTTAAGTTTTCCCTCCATATTTTTATCGTGCTATTTTAGTATTTCATATTTTAAAGCTTTTTATTGCTAATTTTATATACATTTCGTTAACTCGTGTAGTAGTTGCAGTAATTTTTTATCTGAAAGAGTCTTTTTTTATGTTAAAATAGGAAGACGATCCGCCATATCTCGCGATATCAGGAAAAATAACGAAAAAAAAAAAATGATAGTTACGAATTATTCATCTTCAAGTTGAAGCTAGATCAAATCTTATCGACGCTACCTTATCTGTATGGAAAAAAACATGTATTCCGCGTACGAGAAATAAAGAAAATGCTGATATAAAGTAATATAAAAAATGTACCTCGTGGGAATAAAAATGGGTTAATTAGCGGCTGTTTTTACGTACATTGTGTACCGTTACTACCATAATTATCACATGTTTTTTAATTATACAGAAATAAAACGGAGGACAGAATACTCTAGCGGAACGTTCTTTGGTGTTAACAACAACAACCCGACCTAGATCGAAGTGATGGATCGATTGATTGCGATGACAGATGATCCCATTACATGACTTCTTACTTACACGAGATGATGCGACGTAATTTGATCGAGCATCTCACTCGAGTATTTGTGCGCGTCGTATTAGCTTCTAATGTCAACTTGATGAATCGAGTATCGGAGTTGCGTTCGTGATCTTCGCGGATTACAGAGTAATAAGTATTTCTAAGGTTTCCGCCGACTAGAACCTTGTATCAAGCCGCGAAATCTTGATTTAGCTGTTGAATATAATTAGTTCATTAGTTCCAGCATGATAATATTGTAGGATTATTTGTGAGATCAATCTATTTGGACGATGAGCATTACACGTTTGAGGTTACAGACTGTCGTTGATGCCGGCTTGCTACATACTAATTCTCTCACACACACACACACCTCGCTCTCTCTCCGCGTGACACAACACGATCGCTTATTGTTTTCTTTTCTCTTTCTCTCTCACATACTACATTGGTTTGCACAGAATTCGCAAACCCTACAATATTTTATCATTTTAGACCATTGAATAAGCATTTCCAACTTGCACAAGTATTATATATCTTCTGCTGCGATCTCACATTAATTTAAAATGTCATTAAATTATTCCAGTAGTTTTCTGTGAAACTCTCTCTTTCTCTCTCTCACACACACACACACACTCACATGCCTCGTAGCTACCTACAATATTCTCGGGCCAGTCAATTTTTACTAGCTACCAATCAACCCTTGCATCAACCACGAGAACTCTGCGTTCCTACGCCTGTTGCCTATTATACTCTCAATTTCCTGGTAGCTAAAGCGTGAAATCCTTTGAGCTGTCTGCGTCTACCTTTTATCAATATACGCGATCATGTATGAATCCTTCGCATTCCTAGTAGCTATCGTTCACATAACCATAAATAACGATGGGAGCGTAAAATTGGAGATTCTCAAAATATGTAAAACCTTCGATATTTTCTAATCATTGATGCCTGTTTGCAATTTTTCCATCGTTTCCGACAGCATATAAAAAGAATAATAATAATAGAATAATAAAATAAAGCAGTAAAGATGATAATATATAAAAAACTGTTTTCTATTAATGCGAAGCATAATTGTAATCTTAAGAATCCACCCAACCCTCGTTTGAGTTCGCCGGCTTTAAGATAAAGGAGAAACGGCGACCAAATCGAAAATTCTGTCCGCCGCTTTCATTAAGTAGATTAGAGCAGCGGATCGAGGTCCTCTGTCCAGATCGCTGTCGCTGTCCTAACGAGGCGTGCACCTCTTTCCACGACGAGAAGCACACACGTAACCCTTTCGTCTGTATGCACCGCTCTCTAAGACGAGAGGCACTTCGGCAGGCTTCCACTACGACCTCTAATGACGTCGAGCTTCTGGCGTCGCATAAAGTTAGACGGCGAAAGACGAAACGCTGTCCTTTGCTTCCACACTTGGGAAAAAATCAATGATCACCTGATCGTGTAATTCGCGTGTTTTATTTCAACATTTTAAATGTCCTCCGCGCTTTCGTTCATCATGAGGAAAGTTCGAACTATAATTGTGCAAGCAAGTGGCGAAATTTACATTAACACTTGAGTTTGCAACATAAATCGGAGAATGAAAGGACTAAATGTAGCATTAGCGCCAGACAGGATATACCGCTGATCGCAAAGTCTTTCTACACGAGAAGCGGGAGCGTGTTGCGTCACAGAGAGGAAAAACAACGCGTGCACGCGTGGTAGCAACCCTATCTCCTTCATTGCCAGGGGGATAAATTGTCGCGTGTTGTTGGAAAATCACGGAGGTCGGCGGTCGGGGAAGAGGCGCCGAGACGTCTCGACGCCGTTTTCACTGGCGTCGTCTTCTCCAGGCTCCAGCTTTCTTCCTACTCCCCTCCCTCGCTCTCTTGTCTATCTCCGTATATATTTCTCTATTGATCCTTTCGTTCTCCGACCGATCTATCTCCCGCAGCCATCGCCGTGTTACGTAATTATGTTGCAAAGCTAGAATTACAAGGACGGCGATACGAAATACTAAACTCGATGTTCAGGATCGCTTCCATTTTTTATGTAAACATCGTTACGCAATACGAAAAACTGATTTTCAGCGCATTCAATTACCTGAATGTTACTTTTTATGCTGTCGAATTTTTAAATGTCAAGATAACGCACGGAAGTGAAGCAGAAAAGCGACTTCCTTCCGGCATCTCTGACATACGTGACGTGTGAGTATGCCGTAAGATTAAAATACTTTCATCGTTGGCAGCGCATCAAGGGCAACGTCGTCCCTGAGGAAACGTATTTCATTTCCACACTGAGGCACGTAGTCAGAAAAAGAAAATGGTTGTAAGAAAATATATATAGAGAAGAACGTGTTGTTGTACGTTTTTCGTAATCACTTTTGTGATGATTTCAATAAGAAATATTGTTACGAATTTGAGATTTAAAAAGTGCAATAATTTATACAAAACATAAATTAAAACTGCAAGAATTATACTGGAAAAATTATATAATAAAAAATACAAAACACACGATAGAAGATTCTTTAAATTCAAATATCAAGCGAAAAATAAATTATTTAAAAAAATAAAATTTTTCAGCGTTATTAATAGATTACTAAATAAATATATTAAAATAAATGTCACATATAAAAAATTAAATTAAAAAACAAGGCAGAAAAAATAAAGTAATAATCGAAAAAAATAGCTCAATTAGAATAGGATCGTATACAGTTTATTCTGAAAATAGCAAAGGTTAAATAATAAATAGTGATTAAAATGATAGCTTCATAAAACTTTATGACAAACTATCATTTTTTATATGATCATAAAAGAAGACTATAATCAGAAACTTTAACTCTGGATCTATGTGATATGAAACAGGAAGTTTTATTACTCTGTAAAGATTGCTTCCCGGATAAACGAGTCAATTGCATACCAAAATGGAACATTACTGAATTTTTGTAAAATATTATGATGAAGCGAATAGAAACACAAGCGTATAAAATCGCTCAAATTTTTCAATTAAAAGATATTCGACATTATTAAATAACATTATAATTAAACTATAAAATATCTGAAATATTTGAAATCGTTGAAAAGCCAAAATTAAATAAATCTATATTGAATTTCAAAACCTTTTGGTATTTTTAGTCGCTTGTAATGATTTGAAAACTCTTTAAGATACACGTCAAAAACAAGCATGCTACTTGTGTGTGAATTTTATGTATATGTAGAGAGACGTGAGAAAATTCGGTGGTTCTGGACATTTGCCATAAAAAGAAATAGACAAAGGTATCACACAAAGCGATTCCGTGAAACTCGTTTCAAAAGAACGTCTATCGAAGAAAAATAGAAAGTTCGAAAACTGAGAGCAGCGGTCTCCCGAAAATGTGGTAATATCACTGAAATTCTGTTGAAAAATCAAACGCGCGGAAACCGCTCTCCTTTTGTCATTTTCTTCATACCGTCCTCTTTTGCCGGAAAATACGAAGTAATAACTCCAATCTTCGTTTACAGATTCCTGTGACTTCGATAGCGGTGCGATAACCACAAAGTACCAAGATGGCTGCATTCGTGGCGAAGCAGATGGTCGGGAACAAGCTCAATGCGGTTAAAGGTAAGTGCTCTTTAAAGAACGTTCTCTCTCTTTGCGTCGCGTTGTGCAAATTAACCCTTTCATAATAACAACAGTCTGTCGATTTATTAATTTATCTCTTATCTCAGTGTGATTCCAATTATCGCGACAAATATTATGTTTCGCGTACGTGTCTAATCTAAATAAGTAATGAGAAAAAAAATTTTGCTTCTCGTGTTACTTTAAAAATCGGCCAACTGAAAATGCGAATTTTAGACATACCAAATATTATCGCGATCACGAACGCCGTCTTCTGCGATAAAGTTCAATCGTAACGGCGAAACGAACGCTCTAAAGACTCCGCGGAATTCCTTTCTATCCGCGCCAGTTTCAGCGAGACGTGACCCGCTGCAAATTTGTTCGCTGCCATCTTGGATAGACTTTGGAGAGGAACAAAACACCGCCCGGTTATTTCGGCACGGAGCATACTCTACTTTTCACTCCACGTTCACTTTTTGTTGAAAAAATTTAAATGACAAAATTGTACGTATTTGCATATAAAAAGTTATTCCATTTCGTTCGTTCAGCACACAGTAATTTTTGACTTCTTATCTTCTTATCTTAGATTATCGTGTGTATCACTGGTGATCCGAATTTCAGAATAGCCGATGATACATTAAATTTAATATACAGTTGTAATACAATTTCCTATTTATTCTGCGCGCAAATGTATTATAGAAACAAATTTATCGTAATATTTACCATCCGAAATCACACGTAATAATAAATTTTTGCATATTACCGCCCATTAATTTAAAATGACTTGATAGTTTAAATGTAAATTGCTGAAGAACAATTAAATCCGCGCAAAGCGCGGACATTTTACAAATTGCTGTTATCCTGACATTTCAAAGGGAACGCAATATTAAACGAATATATGAAATGACTGACTGGTTTAAAACCTATAAAGGTTAAAGGTACAGCGCGTTTACACGTCGTGTCTTGCGCGTGTATCGTGTATCGGCACGTTTCACCGATGTAATTATCGTAAAACCGGATGGATCAACGTGCAAGCCGCCACAGCAATCCCGCAGCCATTACAACCGTGAGCATCTGCAGTAAAATTGCGCTATCTTCGCATATGCGCGTAGACCTCGCCGGCCGAGGGATGCGACTCCGCTCGTGTTTATCGTCGTACCGCGGGGCCATTACGTTTCGCGAAATTCTCCATACGGGTAATTTCCCTGTCGCAAAGCGCCCGAAGCGTCCTGCCCCTTTTCGACGAATGCATCATTTAGCGTAGCACTTTCCGAAATGTGCTGAACGCCGAGAAATGCAAGAATGTGCAGCGAGAGCGCGTAAAGGATACGACTTTTAATCTCAACATGAGATTTGTGTCATAAAGAGCTAATCAATATGAATAATAATTCGAATATTATTTAAGCAAAAATTATATATCATGAACGATGTATATGTACGATGTATTTTAAAGCGTGTGTACTTATGTGTAATATTACAATTAGACTTCTTATTTTGACAAAACAGGATCTCTGAAACTTTTAACTTTGGTTGGAATATTAGAATCGATTTCTTGTTTTGCAAATATTTACGTATTTAAATACCAAACGATGAAAACTGAAAGCAAATTCTTCTTTCGCAAACATTTATATTTTTAAATGTTAAATGATGCGTACGTTTACATTGGCGATAGCGACAATACGAATTTTCGCGAAGTACCGTGCAAGCATCGATCGGCGATCGCTTTTACTTAGTATGGAAATCACCGTTTCCAAATTCCGACCACAGTCGCGGTTAGAAGTTGGGTGAAAACGACAGAGATGTACCCGCGACGAATCGCGACGCCTCGTTCGCCCGCTTTCTGTCGTGTCGGCGGGTTGAACGATGGCCAGCAATAAAACTTCTGTCATTAAGCGAAAGTTTCAGCTTTCCCCGTGCGGCGAAGCGGGGAAGCATGTCGCGGAGAATCCATAATGGGGAAGGCGGGAAATGGGGACCTTCCTCTCAAACCGTGAACTCGACTTCTACTTCGAATCTTTCTTCCGTACGACAGAAACAGAGAATAGAATGTCGTAAAGAAGGAGTAGAATAGAATAATGGAACCTTGTGTGTTCTACATATGTTGGAAAATTTTGGTTTCTCTTCAAAATATATGATACTCAAGATATAAAGAAAATAGTTAATATCGTTTAAATATATTCCTCTTTATAAATTCTTTTAAAAGACATATTGAAAAAGTTTTAATGCACTTATAAGTATCGGAAAATATATAAATACGAGAGCGAGGATCTGGCTGAACAAAAGACAGAGATCAAGATAAATCGTAAATAAACACGATAGGGATTAAAGGGGAACAGGGGAAACGGGTACGAATAGTAGATAAAGAGAAGGATCGGCAACCCCAGACCTCAATTGCAGCAGCCCAGGTTCAATGAGAGCCCACGACGGTTTTGCAAACCGAGCCGCATTTAGAAGTTTGGATCGCACGAGTCACGCCTCTCCCGCTCTTCCGCCTCTGCTCTTCTACACCCCCGAGGCTTCGACAGCTTTTTCGTTGCCTGTGGAGGTTAATTGAAATCCTGCTAATCGATCGACCGCGACCTATGGTACCAAAACCCAACTACGGCGAGTCGATAAAGCGCTGAAACGGAAGAGAGATAGATAGGTGGATCGTGAGATTTCTCGATGGAATTATAGCGTAAAATCGAGCAAATAATTGTTTCTCAGATATTTATTCCCAACATAGATTTATCGGTCGGAATTTATTCGCCGCGACTTCTCAATATCCGACGTTAAGTATTTGATCGCGATAATGGCCTGTATTACGGGACATTAGCAAGTGCCGTACTTGAATCGACGATGGTGTTTATTATGGGCATTATCGTTCAGTCAATAATCCGAGGCGTTCGTCGATATCACAATGTGTGACAGACAATCGCCCCAATTAATTATGCACCGCGTGATTTATTCGAGGAGGAGCAACATAGGCGCTTCGACGAATCGTCATGATAGCGCGCGGCTGTCTCTCACCGTGCTGGATGGGAAATCTATTTTCGAAAACAATGCAGGCAGCGGCAGCTTAATGATGCGCTCACGCTCAAAATGGAGACCGAGAAAAACTACGGGTTACACGTGTACAAGCGACGGCATTGTGAGCGCTTGCAATTGATACGGCTACGTTCCGGACAATTTCAACCGCACACAACGCCCAGATCGTAATTTATGTCCCAAATGCAATTACACGGTTACCTGAGATAATTAACGTAATGATGTCACATACCGATGGCAGGGCGGGATATACCTTAATTGCGGAACTTTTGCTCGTCGTTAACGATTTCCTCGCACGCGATATACTTGTTGCAATACAACGGGCGATACAATTAGACTCGAGAGTAATCGGGAACATCGATTGCACTGAACGACTTCACTAAGGGCGTTCGCGAAATTACGCAGAATTTGGAACTGGTCATTCGATCGATCGAATGTGCTTGGCTTTAACGAAAATATATGCATCAGGAAGTTTCCATAAACGTAACGAAATCCTTCAGTAGATTTCAAGCAAACTTCTGCTTTAGCGAAATCTTAATTTAATATGGTTTAGTTACACAGGTATTTAATGTTGAAAATCGAGAAAATTACAGCGAGCGATAAAATTGGCACTACGTAATTTTCGTCATAATATTTTCTATAGCAGCGTCGAAATTTTAAGCACAGAAATTTTAAGCGTCAATACAAGTCAATTTAGTAATTAAATGTTCGGCGTTTCTGCATTTGCAAATTATTCGTTGTACGTGAAATATTATTGATAAAATGCGGGAGCAAACACGCTGCTATCGATTAAACGAGAATAAACGTTTAAAGATTCGTTAGATAATTTAATTGGAATTTATTAAACGAAAATATTACTTCAAACACATCTACCTTTTATACATCACCGAGTGTGTTTTATGCTTTTAGCGAAACCAATTTTTCGTCGCAATATCGATTAATGTTAACGATATAAAAGAGATTCTTAACCGATTAAAAATAATAAACGTAACGAATGACCGTTGTTCTGCACCATTTATCGATGCAACCTACTTTAATTTACGTTTCGTTTCGTAATATTCGACTAACGATTTGTCATGCGATAGAGGTACGAAAACGAGGAACGTATGGCGGCGCAATCTGTCGGAGAAACGAGCAAAAAAGTTCGTCCGATATATTTCGTGCTTGCGTTTTTGCGGTCGGACGTACTGCCGATCGATCGTTCCAGTTTTGGCTCGTTAAAAACCTCGCAGGAGATTTTACAAGAAATAACTCCGTTACATCGGGCGGGAGGCAGAAAAATAGGAAACCTTGAGGCGAGCAGTGACGCGAGCTTTAATTTGCGGGCACTTATAATCGAAAGATCGTCGATATTGAAACGATCGTTATTTTTTAACTTTTCCGATCTACAATAATGATTGCGTCTCGCACTTCCAAGACATTCCATTTGCTTTTTTATCGGTTAATTTATCCGTTAAAAACATCGACTGGCAACGCTAAAAATACAGCGCGATGGAATTCCTCATATTGCAAACACAACTTTTTATCAAACGTACATTACACGGAAGTTCCATCCTCATCTGAAACGCGCCGCTTTTTCCGCACGGGTATTGAAATTTTTGCCGCCGCTGCTGCGACCGAGTTACGTGTATTTCTATGCAAGTCGATTTATAGTCAATTCTGCATTACACACAAGCCGCTACGTTTAGCGATATTTAATTAAATCCCGTCTGGTAGGCGGAAACTTCTGTCGATAGTTTCAAACAGTTCGCAACCGCTCTTACCACGACCATCGGCCACGATACGCGGTGTGAATGGTCACGTAGGCACAAAACTGCTATTTAGAGAACCACTCAGAATGTTCGGATGATGCGCGAGTCATTTTCCAACTTTATGCAGTGAGGAAAATTCATATTATACAAAAATGTGAAACATGCGAGGTGTAGATTAAATTGGATTTGCTCGAAAATTTGTAGGAACACATTCAATATAGCGTA